GGAGGAAAGATGAGGCTCTCCTCAACTCTGCAGGCAGTTTTCCCCCTCTTCACCATCTCTACAAGGTGGCTTAGCCCCAAAACCAGCCGGCTCGGGGCGCTCCAGCGGCGAGCACGGATCGAAGCCTCACGAAGACGAGATTTTGGTCTGTTGCTGAAGAATGTCTTTCCTTATTTTGGAACTACAAAACCCCTTTGACATCCCTCCCTCCTCTCTCTCTCTCTCTCTCTCTCAACCCTCTCTCTGTATGTCTGTCTGTCAATGTCATTCCCTCTCCCTCTCTCTCTGTCTGTCTCTCTTTCCCTCCTTCTCTCTTTCCCTCTCTCTTTCTCTTTCCCTCCCTCCCTCTCCCTCTCTCTCCCCCTCTCTCTCCCTCTCTTTATCTCTTCCCCAGGGGGTGGGTGGAAGGCACCCCTGAACTGGTAGTGGGTGGTAGGAATCCAGAGGCCAACAAGCACAGGAGCAGCACGCCCAAGATGAGGAGGAAGGAGGGGAATCCTCAGGTGGGGGAAGGGAAGAGGGATTCCTTGGGGGAGGGAAGGAGAGCGAGGTGGGGTTTTCAGTCAGAATGCCAACCTTGTGAAACACCAGAGGACTCACACAGGAGGCAAACCATATGAGTGTTCAGATTGTGCAAAAAGTTTCAGTCAGATTTCCCACCTTGTGGTCCACCAGAGGACTCACACGGGAGAAAAACCATATGAATGTCCAGAGTGTGGGAAAAGTTTCAGTGAGAATTCAAGCCTTGGGAAACACCAGAGGACTCACACGGGAGACAAACCGTATGAGTGTTCAGAATGTGGGAAATGTTTCAGTCAGAATTCCAGCCTTGTGAAACACCAGAGGACTCACACAGGAGACAAACCATATGAGTGTTCAGATTGTGCGAAAAGTTTCAGTGATAATTCAAGCCTTGTGAAACACCAGAGGACTCACACAGGAGAGAAACCTTTTGAATGTCCAGAGTGTGGGAAAAGTTTCAGTGAGAATTCAAGCCTTGTGAAACACCAGAGGACTCACACAGGAGAGAAACCTTTTGAATGTCCAGAGTGTGGGAAAAGTTTCAGTGAGAATTCAAGCCTTGTGAAACACCAGAGGACTCACACAGGAGAGAAACCTTTTGAATGTCCAGAGTGTGGGAAAAGTTTCAGTGAGAATTCAAGCCTTGTGAAACACCAGAGGACTCACACAGGAGAGAAACCTTTTGAATGTCCAGAGTGTGGGAAATGTTTCAATCAGAATTCCAGCCTTGTGAAACACCAGAGGACTCACACAGGAGACAAACCATATGAGTGTTCAGATTGTGCGAAAAGTTTCAGGCAGATTTCCGACCTTGTGGTCCACCAGAGGACTCACACGGGAGAAAAACCATATGAATGTCCAGAGTGTGGAAAAAGTTTCAGTGATAATTCAAGCCTTGTGAAACACCAGAGGACTCACACAGGAGAGAAACCTTTTGAATGTCCAGAGTGTGGGAAAAGTTTCAGTGATAATTCCACTCTTCTGAAACACCAGAGGACTCACACGGGAGACAAACCGTATGAGTGTTCAGAATGTGGGAAATGTTTCAGTCAGAATTCCAGCCTTGTGAAACACCAGAGGACTCACACAGGAGACAAACCATATGAGTGTTCAGATTGTGCGAAAAGTTTCAGACAGATTTCCCACCTTGTGGTCCACCAGAGGACTCACACAGGAGAAAAACCATATGAATGTCCAGAGTGTGGGAAAAGTTTCAGTAATGATTCCAGTCTTGTGAAACACCAGAGGACTCACACAGGAGACAAGCCATATGAATGTCCAGAATGTGGGAAATGTTTCAATCAGAATTGCAACCTCATGATGCACCAAAGTATTCACACAGGAGAAAAACCGTATGAATGTCCAGATTGTGAGAAAAGTTTCAGTCAGAATTCCAGCCTTGTGAAACACCAGAGGACTCACACAGGAGAGAAACCATATCAGTGTTCAGGTTGTGCGAAAAGTTTCAGGCAGATTTCCCACCTTGTGGTCCACCAGAGGACTCACACGGGAGAAAAACCGTATGAGTGTCCAGAATGCGGGAAATGTTTCAGTCAGAATTCCAATCTTGTGAAACACCAGAGGACTCACTCA